TGCTTTGTGAATTCATTGGCCCACATTTTGAAAATTATATCTAGTCACTTAATAAGATAACCCGACCCAACAAGAAGGTATCACAAGAGACCTGATTCCCCAAAATTTTGAAGAGAAATTAGGTAGCCTAGCAAAAATGTCAGAAGAATGACCAATCTCTGCAAAAGGCTACTTGCAAAAGTTGAATGGAACACGCCAAAATTACTATCATTTCTTCATCAAACTTTATGTCAACCCCATGAACAAAAGAAAAGAAAGAACTTGAGACCAACTGTTGTCGGCGATCTCATTGGTCTTGGTCGAAAATTGGAATGTATGTGATGAGAAACCAACGGAGACCGCGAAATGATGCGACTGCCTTGCTGGTGGCTAACTGAGGATAAGTTATAGCACGAAAAATTCATCCTTAGAATGTTAATATCCAAGTCGGTCTTCTCGTGTCGAACGCCATACACCCAAAGCTAATTGCTTGTAAGGAGCATGCTAATTGCTTGTGGAGCTAAGGATGAAGTTGAAGAAATTGCACCCAGCCCAATTGGTGAATATAACTTGATGGAAAATATAACTTCAAATCCATTGGGAATGACAATTATGAAATAGACATGGATGCTTTAAGTAGCGTCCAAGAGAAAATGCAATTTGGGATCTCCTCAATTTTATAATGGTATAAGCAAGCAAGTGTTCAAGATTATGGGAAGGAGGAAGTTACTTGTTTGTGGAAGGAAGTGATGGAGCAAAATACACATGAAAGTAGTTTGCTTATTTTGTCTAATCATGAGAGGAGCAGTGTTACTAAACATTTTGTTGACAAAGTTTGCAAAAGAAAAAAAAAGGAAATGCAATCTACTCAAAAGACTCTCGTCAATATGAGTTCTAGGAGCTTTATCCTGAAATTAAGAATGGGAAATGACTGTCTCATTGCAGCCTCTGATGGTCAATATGCCACCTTGCACTACCTACTTAATCCAAGAACTGTGAAGAGAATGAGGTAGTTAACTTCCTACAAAGAAGACATCCCCTATTTTGAACCTTGGGGACAAGGTTAATTTAAGAGGAAGGGATGTCATGGATTGGGCATTTGCTTTTATTTTTCTAGTTGGGCTTGTATAGTGGGCTAACCCAGGCCCTTTAGGTTGTTTTGTTCTACATATAGCTTGCTTAGAAGACGACAAGGGGTGTGAATTGATGAATTGAAATTGGCTCGCTACCATCTACCTCTCATTCTCTGTTCTTCCGGTTCTTCTTCTTCTTCTTCTCTTGTTTTCTATGTCTCCCTCATCTCTGCTAAGCTTCTTCTACTTCTTTCTCTCCTTTCTGTATCTCTTCTCGGTTTTGCATCTCTTTTTCTCCTGTTGTCGGTGTTCTTCTTCCACGTAATTCTGAATCCTCTTCTTCTCTTCTCTTTCTCTAAATCATGTCTTCCACTTTCTATGTTTTGTATTTATCTTTGTTATTTTATGTAATTTCAATTTAATCAATGAAATTATAGCTGGGTGTTTGAATCCTAGTTTAGCATATTAAATCGTTTGTGTTGATTTGGATTGAAGTTTAGTTGGTTATTGGTTGAAGTTCAGCTGGTTATTGATTCTTAACTAATTATATTCAATTGTGTGTTAATCTTGAGTGGAGTTTAGCTTGTTTTGGTTGAAGTTGGGCTCCAACCATAACATACAGCCACCATATCACCTTTGAATAAAGAAAACCACTTAAAAGGAATTCTTATGCACTTCCCTTTGTTAGAATACTAATGGTGTGGAAGGGACCAACTTCTTCGAACTGATCATGAGGACCCATTCCTTTAAAAATTACTTCTAGCAACAAAGGAATTTCTCTTTTCCTCATCCATAAGTTTGAATTTGGATTAAACTTTTCTTTGCTTTGACTGCGCCACTGAAATATATAATCAAATGGCTTCTCCAAAAATCTCTTTCAGTAGCTCCTTTCCATTATTTTTATGGCCGGCTCTTTCATTTTGATAGAAGGAAATTGCTTGGAAAATATTGCTGTCCTTGCTGGAAAGTTGTTCTCTGTAGACCTCCATCGTTTGGTCACTGTCTTCGCCTCTTCTGGCTAGAGAACTGTTGGAAAATTTTCAACCTCCGGTAACCTTTTTGTACTTGGTATAATGCGGTTAATGTATTGGTTCTCACAGACAACACCAATCTGTTGACAGCAAAAAATGACTCCAACGAATCTTCAACCTTGTATCCTCCAAACCTGCACACGTAGCACCGCGTCAAGAGGCAAAGACAGCCGGACGAGACAAAGGTCCCGTGACCGTTTGCATTCCGACGGTCAAATCATTGGCCGGACGAAAATATATATTTATAGAGTGCAATAGTAGAGAGATGGGGACCTTGGCTAGGGTGTTGAGACATACCTTAACTGTGTAAATTGAATTCATATATATAGAGAAGTGGAAGTAAAACGGGTTACGTAATATGGGCCTAACTCCAAGTCTAATAAGGAGGTGACTATATAAGAATAATAATAGACACCTCGGCTGGCCTCTTTAGAGCCTAAGCTATGGGGCTCAACTCTAATGGACCTTGCCTGGGTCCAATAAGATGGCCCAATATGAAATGATAATTTATAGGCATAACATTCTCCATTCATTCAAGTGAGACAATAATATAATTATTAAAATTTTAATTATTTTATTTATTTTTAAAAGTTAAATTATTCGAATATATTTGTTTAACTAAGATTTTTATTACTTGTCATATTTCTTAGATAATCTTAGTTGCCATTTTTTATTAGAATTAATGAAATTTCGTAGAGTTTTTCCATTTAAAATATTGAATTCTTAAAAAAAAAATAATAATAATAAATGTGGTGGGGCCCCTGTTACCCATACTCCCTCCGTACTCGACACTACCCAATGACCCGATTAGGGGGGTAATTTCGGCCCAGTTCAGGACAAGGCCCCGTGGGTATCAGGTTTGACGGATTTTTTTGCCATCTCTACTAAATAATAATAAAAGGCTATCAAGAAAAGTTCTCAACTCATTTGTTGAAACGTCTCTCTAATTTACTTATTTATTATTATTATTATTTTGGTGTTGAAGTCTTTACAGTTACTTTATATTTGTTTCATTTGAAAGTTCTTCTGATAAGATAAAATACTTTTAAGAAATTACTCAAATAAATTTAAAAGTAATTTTTTTAGTTTCAAAAGTAATTTTTAACTTTTTAAAATCACTATAGATTGGCCCTAACCAAGATTATTGAGAAACTAATGTAATATATCAACCTTATTCGTTGGTCAATCTTATCATTTTAAATGAGGACATTAAATATTATGATATATGTTTACTGTGTGTGATTAAATAAACAAGAAACTATCCCAAAAGAATGTGAAAAAGATGTACAAAGTCAAAAATATTGATCAACGAATTTTGTTGTTCATACCAAATTTTAAATAATGAGATACATGATTATTACCGGCAAGTAAATAAAAAATTCTAAAAACTAAAATTGTAAGTCGAGAATCTGAGGTAGGGACTAGAGTGGGAGACAAGATAAAAAATTAAAATAATTTACTGCACGTGTATGAAGGTCACCAATAACAAGGCAAATGTTTTGTTCGAGTAGTAAGTGTGAAAATGGCTTTATACCCATTTTCCTTGATGCGCAATTTATTCTCTCTAGATAACCTCCTTATAAATGGATTCGATAGGTTATTTTCCGATAAAACAATTGGTATTATTCCATTCAAGAGTAATTGGCAAATGATATTACATCTACAATTTATATATCAAAACTTATTGTTATACACGACATTCTATGCCAACATATTTGTTGCTAGTTAGCTCAAACAAATGATATAGCAAGCACAAATTGTCACCAATTAGAAAATCCTTCTAAAATCTTTAAAGTCATCACGCTTACTTCTAATTTTATTGAAAGCTCTATCTTTTTTCAATTCTCACATTGTATTAAGGATTTTCACGAAGCGACTCCACTCTAAATAATAAAACATTTTTACTAGTAACTTTTGAATTCTTGCATTGGATATCCAATTTTCAACATTGCGCACATCTTAATTTTAATAAGTTATTCATTACAGTGCAATTTATCATTTCAAATATTCCAAATTCTAATTTGAAGGAAGCAATGCTACACCCAAGTCCTGGGGTCTGTCCGAAAAATTACAATCATACCCACAATTCTAGATAAGTCAACTTAGCAATATAATATTCGTCTAAGTATGCATATAAAGTTTGATCATATCGAAAATTATATTTATTTACCTGACAAACAATTTTATTCTACGTAGTCAGCATCTAAAATAACTAGGAATGTCAATGTCATACAAAAGCCCATGCATTTTCATATTTAAGAATGTCAATTCACAAAATAAAAGTGAAAAGTCATCTTTAAAAAAAAAATAAAATTGCAGCCTCATCCAATTTTAATTGGGCATACAGATATAATTGCATTCATCACATAGACCCAAATTGAGATAATGTGTTGCACCACGTTGGACGAGTAAAAAAACGTGCAAAACACACCATAATACGGAGAAATGCTATTCCACAACATTAGGGTACGTATGAAATTAATCATATAGTGTGCAAAACTCCTTCAAAATTATGCCACGTAAGCCAAATCACCCACATTCACTTTCTCTAAACCCATCAGCCTAGTGACGTTTCACCAGTGAGTTCCCAGTGGATACTGCCATTTGATTTATCTTTGTCGTTGATAAATGAAATTCAAGAAATTCCTAGTGTTTTGAGATATTGTCAGGATAGCAATACGAAAACTTAACATAACAGTCGGACAATAAAAGAAATTGCATAATTGAGGCAGATTTGGTATCCTGGTAAGTTGTCTGAATAACTTTCAAGAGATATTTTTGACATAACATGTACAAAAATTTTAACAATGAGATGAAATAAATTTTATTTAATATATTTATATAATACAAAATAAAAATAATAATGTTTTAATAGTTGAATTTCTATTAAAAACATACTAATAAAATAATACGTTAGTAAAACAAGATGTCAAAAAATATTAAAAACTCACAATGACCATTCAATGTAAATCCATTGTTTAAATTAGAAGTTGGTCCACTACTTTCTCATACAGACCGCTTAGCACATTAGTATTTTATTAGATATGATTTTATCATTTTTAGAGTTTCTTATTTTACTGATTCCTAATTCATCCAAAAAATGAAAAATTCGTTATCATCATCATGATCCTCCTCATCCTCAGTACTCATCATCTCACTACCATCATCATCATCAGAGTCCTCAACATTATCATCCTCTTGATGCCAATATGTTACAAGTATCTTCCCGGCAATTCGGCGTATTTTACTGTAGTCACAAGTTTTTAGGCTCTTAATTTTCTGAAGACCCCCAGCGTCTTCAATCATCTGAGCAAAGAAATTCACATCTTCGGTGTTACCTTGGTTCTTCTCAGCTTCTCCAACCTTCAGAATGTTCTCAAGGCCTTTCAAGCAGATTTTTATGACATGCGCTTCGTAGGGATTAACTAGAAGGTCACACATTGGCTCTATACAACCCTCGTGCACCAGGAAACTGCCACAAAGATGAAGCATTAATACTCAAACTAACTGTACAATAAGCTACGAGAATATGACAATAGCTATGAAGAATTTACTTGATTTGCTCATTAGTTCCCTTAGTCGTGGCATTATAGATAACCTTAGCAGCTGCATTAAAAAGATCAGCATCTTGAAGAAGTAGGAGAAGAGGTGAAATAATACCAGCCTCAATCACAGCCTGTGTATTTGTTGGATAAATTGGTGAATTATATTCCATTCACTGTAATACATGCATGATTTTATTTGCTATTGACATTCAAATTATCGAATAATATTTTGACTTACTGAAATCAAGATAAGTGCATGAAAAAGTTTAAAGTGACGATTTAATAACATTTAGGAAAATGCAAAAATTAGAAAAAGATAAAATAAAGCGAGGTATATGAATGCAAATCTCATTACGACAGATTTCGCTCCCTACACTGGTGCTAATAAGATCAAATGGACATCTGTCTCCCTAAATACAACGCTTCTTTCAAAATTAATACATCATAATATTAACTTTATCGAACAAACCAACACTTGATTATACTCTTCTAAAATGGAAGATATTGAATACTAAATACCGAATAGAAAACTCAAAAAGTAATTAGAAAATTATTTTGATATAATTTGAAGAAGGAAAGAATTAGAAATTAATTATTTGGAATAGATTCGGATTGAAGAAAATGAAATTAAGAGGATCCAATTTATAGATTTCATGTATTTCTTCAAATGTTCGCATCTTTTGGCACAAATTATTTTAACCATTAAATCTCACAATTTCAAGATTGATATCCTAGGTTGTACCTTTATCAAAGGTCACTACTCCTTGTTATGCACATTTGGCACTTGAAGAGTCACACCCAAATCAACACACCTGTTGGAGATTTTTTTTTTTTCACACATTTTAATAATTTCTGAATAATCACCCACATGAATGGAAGAAGTTGACTCAAAAGAAGAAAGACAAAAAAGTGTACAACTGAAATATAATGCATTAGGATCGGTAACTTTTGCTTTGAACCTTCCTTAGTAAAAATCTATCGAACTCATTTGGCTAATCAGTAAATGCAATATTTTGACCATTATTGTAAGTCTAGACAAAAGATTGAACACATTATATCTCATATCAAACTTTGATTCTCTATTGTGTTCATTATTTTGGCCCTAAACCTTCTTGGTTCTGCAAGTGTGTTAGAGAAATTACACAAGTAAAATTCTAGTAGAACTGGCCAAGATCACACTCATATAGATGATATTCTATAAAGAGTACACTACAGTATTCCCTTGTACTATTTACAAGATACAGTCATCGTGAATTATCCTAACCAATATTTGGCAGGCACCATTTATTTGCATCATACATTTGGGAAGGAGTTAGAACTTCAAATTGCTTTTCATCAAGTCAATCATAGCTAGTTTTCCTATTGAACCTAGCTCGTGAGATCTCCCATCACCAAGTTAGGTTTCCATTAAATTGGCCCACTAATTTAGGCTTTATACCCATTTTCCTCAATGCACAATTTATTCACTCTCTAGATAACCTCTTTATAAATGGATCCAGTAGGTTTTTTCCGATAAAACAATCAGTATTATTTCATTCAAGAGTAACTGCCAAATGATATTATGTCTACAATTATACACAAACTTACCATTATACTCAACATTCTATGCCAACATTTTTGTAGCTAGCCATCTCAAACAAATAATATAGCAAGCACAAATTGTCACCAATTAGAAAATCGTTCTAAAATCTTTAAAGTCATCATGCTTCCTTCTAATTTTATTGAAAGCTCTATTTTCTTTCAATTCTCACATTGTATTGAGGATTTTCACGAAACAACTCCACTCTCAATAATAAAAATTATTTACTAGTAGATTTTGAATTCTTGCATTGGATTTCGACATTGCGCACATCTTAATTTTAACAAGGTATTCACTACAGTACAGTTTATCATTTCAAATATTCCAAATTCTAATTTGAAGGAAGCAATGCTACCCCCAAGTCCAGGGTGCATCCAAACTTTAATTGATAGTATAATACAAATAACAATCATACCCTCATAATTCTGGATAAGACTCAACTTAGCAATATAATATTCGTCTAAGCATGCATATAAAGTTCGATCATATCGATAATTATGTTTATCTACTTGACAAACAATTTTATTCTACATCTAGTCAACATATAAAATAATTAGGAATGTCAATGTCATATAAAAGCCCATGCATTTTCATATTTAAGAATATCAATTCACAAAATAAAAGTGAAAAGTCTATAAAAGCCCAAATCGAGATCCTGAGTTGCACCACTTTGGACAAGTCAAAAAATGTGCGAAACACACAATAATACGGAGAAAAGCTGTCCCACAACTTTAGGGTACATATGAAATTAATCATATAGTGTGCACGACTCCTTTAAAATTATGCCACATAAGCCAAATCACCCACATTCACTTTCTCTACACCCATCAGCCTAGTGACGTTTCACCAGTGAGTTCCTAGCTGATATTGCCATTTGATATTTATCTTCGTAGTTGATTAGTGAAATTCAAGAAATTGCACTTCTTTTAAGAAGATACATGATGGTTAGCCACCAAATTTCAACGAGGGCAGTTAGAATACATATAACAGGCATTGCTTTATTCCCACTACAACCCCTTGGCCACTACTCAAATTCTGTAATTAGAGAAACGTAAATAAATTTTACACTACTAATGCATGCATCTTTTTAAATAGAACAAGTAGAAAATTAGAATCCAAATGCTTCAATATCTTTTTAGTTTACCAAGAAATCGAAGAAAAATTAAAGAGAAAGTTCTTTGACATGCTTTCAATAAACAGAACATATCTACAATATCAATTTCAGAATTAAGAATATGTTCTCGTCATGCGATACAACATTCAAGTAAACTAGTATTATGTATGAACAATGCATAATAAAGTAATCGAGTAATATAAAGAATAATTCACGAATAAAAAAGTCAAAAAGCAAACACAAACTAAAACGGTGCATCCATGTAAACTGATTTTGACTATCAGTATATCAATTAACATGAAAATCCACCTTAAGATTATTCGATAAATTGGTGCTTAATTATATTCATATGCATGATTTAAGTTGCTATTGACATCCAAATTATTGAATAATATTCCGACTTAATAGAATAAAAAATATGTGCATGAAAAATAAGTAAAATGACGACTCACTGACATTTAAAAAAAATGCAGAAATTAAAAGGAAATAAAATAAAGCGAGACATGCGAATGCAAATCTCCTTAAGACGGATTTCGCCCCTACACTGGTGTTAATAGGATCAAATGGAGGTTTGTCTCCTAAGATACAATGCTTTTTTCAAAATTAATGGTCTAGATCGCATCTTTATCAAAGGTCATGACTCTTTGTTATGCACTTGAAGAGTCACACACAATTGATGCACTTATTGAAGACTTTTTTCATTTCTCACAGTTTAATCTTTTTATATATCCCTAAATTCCAAAGTATTAAGATGGCATCTCCTCGGCATCTTAAATTTGTAAGATAAATGGATTTAATGGAAGACTCTAAATTACAAACAAGAACACAACAAATGTCAAAATCATCAAAACAGGGTTACTACTACGAGAAAATGTTTTGAAGGACGGCAAGAGAAAAATCATCAATCTTGATGTTCAAAACAATAATTGACTGGTGGAAACTATAAACTTCTTTGCTGTAACATCATTCCTCCCCCTTCTCCAGTTGATACTTACTTATCTCAAAGCATTAACTATGAATGCATAGAGTAATACCCCAAAGGCAAAAACTATTCCATAGTAATTTGCATACCTGAATATGATCCTTAGTCCGTCCAATGATATTTGAAATGATATAACAAGTGGATTCCATGACAGAGATATTGTTATTTAGTATCAACTTATCACGCAGGTAACAAAGAACCCCATCATCAATGATGACCTGGAAATCATTCAACAGAAGCAAGTTTGTAAAAAAAGGTCAACACTGCTTGGCGTCCTTAAGTACAGGGTTAGCATTGAACTTCTTCTTATAGCTCCTAAAAATTGGTCAAAAATTATAGGGTTAATTTCTCAGGATGATACTTGAAGCCACGCACTTGGCATTTGCAAATTCAACTAATGAGTTTCAAATAGTAACTTTTGAATTTTGTACAGTTTTTGGATTCCTAGTGATGCTATGCGCTTCAAACGTATTATAAGCATTGCACCAAAACTGAACATATATGGATCATGAATATGACAAAAACAATGAGGACTGAAGTAATTCTTCTAATGATTATTTAGCAATAGAAGCAACAAGACTGTATATGCAAAATGAATATATCTGAATCATGAATGATCAAGCAATGCATTTTTGGCTTCATTGACAAGGACACCCCTCTCCACCTAACGTAAATATAATGCACAATGACTGTTAAGTATGTAGACCATCGGAACAGCTAAAAGACAAAATGGCCTACCATATACATCTTTTATATGAAACAAGCAAACAAGAGTTGTTTGTGAAATATAGTAGACATTTGATGGACTACAATTGGAAAGGTGAACATATCACATAACAAATTAATGTGCTCCAAAGGAAGTTTTCTAATTAAGGTTAAGGACGAGAGTCGGCTGATACCTGAATCTGGGTATCATCTACATATGAAATAATATTATAAATGGTTTGCTGGTCACGATATGATTTATGTCGTCTGCGAACAACTAAACCAAATAAGCACGGGTATGAAGTTCAATAAGCAAAAGCAAAGCAAAAACTTTAATTAAAAAAGGGGAACTGTATCAAATGGTATTTTTTCACTGACTTAAAACGTTCGACCAAATGAGGGAAAACACCAGCATCAACCACAGCTTGTTTTATATCCTTTTTCCCACAAGTTAGATTGAATAGCGCATTCCATGCAAACCTAACGACCGTTTCATCGTGTTCCTGAATCAGCTGAGAAAGAGGTAGGATGGCAGATTTCACCTGCTCAGTAATATTCAGAAGGAATTGGTTAAATATATAAAGGTCCCGCATTATTGATATGCATTAAAATTGAACAAAAAACCAATTAGAAGACAAACCTGCTCTAACTGAAGCGGTCCCGAACAAAGTTCTGACAATGTCTGAGTTGCCTCTCTTATGATGATTAGATTTGTTTTATCATTAAATTGCGCCAATATGAGCGTTAACACTCCATATCTAAGGATAAGGTCACGAGAATCTGCTGAGCGACCGGCAATTTCTCCCAACACCACAAGTGCCTAAGTTAAAAAGTTGGACATATAGTCAAAAGCAGCCACGAAATAAAATTCAAAGTTCTTATTAATCTTTATCAATTTGTAAAATGTTGGACGAACATATCCCTAACATAGGGATGCTGTTATGTCATTTATTGTTAAAAGGTATTGCCCCTACTCGACTGAAGAAAACTTAAAAGCAGCCATGGAACAATGTCATTTTTGGCACTACTTAAAAGACAGTTTTTCATCCCGGATCTGCAACTTGACACATGGGTGTTGGCCGTCACTGTTTCAACTCTAGTTGGGAAGGTTAGGTTTTAATCAATTTATATAAATTTGCATTCCTCTGGTTTTCTCCACTTCAGATTAAAATGAAAAAGGCTAAAAGTTCAAAAAACAATTTAATGTTGAAAAGTGAAAAATAATAATAAAAGCTTAAAAAATGTTTACATTGTTGTAAGAACGAGTCCGATTGGACAAAGTTTTTGCTGTTTCTACTTTTCTCGATCCGTTTTGTCTTTTAAAGGCACAATTCTCAAAGCATTTTTACCACTATATAAGGAACTTATTTTTTTAAATTTTTTTTTTTTCAAAATTAAGGGAAACAATGTTCCTAAAGCCAAAAATTAGAGAAAAATTAAAGGCAAAAATATGTTTTTCAAGATTTGGCATGAAAGAAAACGATTCTTGGTGAAAAGTCGTCAAAATTACTATATTTCTTTCTTGTATGCCTCTTCTTCCATGATGTATAATTAAATTAATGCTTAAAATAAATGTTGTAACCAAAATTTAAATCTTGATTTTGGTTATCACGTGTTGATTTTTAATTGTTATTTGTGTATTGTTCTTATTTCTTTTGTATGACTTTGAATTACATTTATCACCGATTCAATGATTTGTGAACAGCAAAGAATCGAAAGATGGGTTATTCTTTTAGATCATGTAGTAAAATTCAAAATTTAGATAGGAGAGATACACTTTTACTAACTGTGTACTATTAATTAAATTTTTTGGTGATTGAATGCTTTTGATTAAAGTACATTGGGAATCATGTAGACACACGAGTTTACTTAATTCATTAGAATTGATTTGAACTCGAAAGGAGTAAATCAATTACTTTAGAAGAATTCGATCAAGTAAGCATAATTAACTATTTCTGGGATTTGGTAATTGATATTAAAGAGATAATAATGGTGAACTCATGAATCCTTCATACGTCAAGTAGAACTGTAAATAGTCTATTTGTGACATTTTTCATTATTTTAACCAAGTGGTCCTCATGAGAAGATTCTTAAGTCCACTTCATTACTTATTTGATTGACATCTTACACTTGTGATAAAATCACAACACAACACCTACCTTTTCGCGAAGTTCATCGTTGGGAGAACTAAGAAGGCTCACCATAATGGGAGCTGCGCCCTGTTCAATCAGGATGTTGGTGTTGATGCTGATGTCGTCATCTGAGTAACATAAAATATCTACTATAGCGTTCGCTGCCGCAAGCTGAGAAAATGAATAACTCAATTTATTTAGCGGTTGAAACACATGAAACAAGCAAGAGAAGCAATTAAAAGCACAAAGTTAAACCTGAAGCTGCGGGTAATCATCTCTATCAAGAAACTCGAGGAGTCGAGAAAAAATTCTAGATATTAATCCCTTCGATAGTGCATTTATGCCTGTGGAAACAAATTAATTGAAAGCGGATGGAATCAGAGATATAAAAGAAAAAAGCTTAAAAAGTAATAACATTTATATCAAATTAATTGATTACGATTAATATCCCTCTGTAGCTGAAAACAGGCTCTGGTTTGCAATTCGTCGTCATTTGACTCAAGTTTAGCCATTAATTCAGCATCCAATTCCTCGCTCTGTTGCAATTGGCAGAAATTAATAATGAAGTTTACATAACAGTTTCTATATACTAGTTCTGCTCCATTATATTTATCCCACATAATTACTTACAAGAACTATTTCATTATGCAAAAAAGACACATTTTTCTTTCAAATTTGATTTCCGAGAGAGGATTTGTGTCTTGTTTTTATACCTTTGTAACTAAAATGTAGTGAAATTATTATATATAAGCTGCTGTTCAAGTCATGCTTGCTGAAGCCAGCAGTTGCTAAGTTATGAGTTCAGATCGGAGGCGTCACCTTTCTGTCCAAGGCCGATGGAGCATACTAGGGAACCTTTTCAATATATTTATGGAGACTATGAAAAAAAAAATATGGACTTCTTAAACTTTGGTACTATAATAAATTTACAAAATCCCCTTTTACGTAGTGAGAATGAAAGTGACCATGAGCAGGAGAGACACTATTCCTGACGTAAAATAATCAGAAGTATGAAAATAGTCCATGAAGTATAGTCTTTAGCTTTAGACAAGTTTTTTTTTTTTTTAATACCTTTAATTGAGGTTCGTCAGGGGCCCTTCTAAATTTTGTGTTTTTTCCTTCATCGGTAAGACGAGTCTAGAGTGGTTTGAAAAAACAGAGAGAAAAATGGTCATGCTTGCTAAAATTTCATTATAAAGATCTGTGGATATTCTTGAGATGGAGAAATGATAAGATACGAGCAACGGTAAGTATGGCTCAAGGATTTGCTTTTACCTGTTGACGATTGGACTGCCTCCTGTAAAGGACACGAACTTGAAGGATATCATTTCCTAAATTCTTTTGTTCTTCTTGTATTTGCTTTGCCGAATTCTCAGCTGAAGAGCTACAATTGTCCAACTCGATGAGTTGAAGAGTTGGTATATCTCCAATGCTACCGGGGATCTCCTTTAGGTCGAAACATTCCCTAATTATTAGGCACTCGAGGCTTTTGAAGTTAGTGTCACTGGCTCTCCATTGCACTAGACAAGAACATTTAAGTAGCAAAAATTTTAGTTTGGAAAATTCTCCTTCGGTTAGCTCCCATTTTGGCGGCCAGATATTGTCATCTAGCAGTTTGAGCACTTCAAGGTTGGGCATTGAACCAACAATAGTCATGCGTTTCCAAGCGATTTTGCACCCGCATAAAGTCAACTTTTTGATATTTGGTGGGAAAGTGAAATTTATAGGGACTCTAACACGTGCTTCATAACTAGTGATTTTCAGGGTCTCAAGTTGAGGAAGATTAACCAGAGTACCTAGAGAAATCATTTTGTAAGAATTATTCGAAATTCTTAACTTGTTTAGATTTGGAACTCTTTCAAAGACCTCCTTGGTGCAGCTGGAACTACTCACTATCGAAAGTGTTAAAAGGTTTCCCAGAACAAAATTCTCCCCAGCTATTGGTGACCTAGTAGGGCATGGCAAATAACAAGAAAAGAACAGGAGATGCCTCAATTGTGTCATCCTCCATATTTCCTCTGGTAGATGTACAAAGCCACTAGCTACAATTAAGGTCTGTAGATTCCCAAGAAAATCAGGAAATATTTTAGGGATGGAAACTGTCGCTTGGAAGGAGAAAGCAAGGTACCTAGAGTGAACTAATTTTATTTCTCCAAATGAGAAATCCTGTACATATTGTTTAAGATCCAACACCCTGAGCAGTGGACAAAGTGTTCCATCAACTAATTCATTAATCTGGCTTTCGTCTAGGCCTGTAGGGAGTATGATGCGGCCTTCAGAATATGATAATTTTAGAAAACAGGGAATTAAAATAGAACGGACTGTTGGCAAGGATCCCATGGACTGGTAACATTTGAATTCCTCGTGAAGAATATCTGGATGAGTACACAGGCGACGTGGATACTTCATGCTTTCGGCAGAAATGTTTTCTTTATTTCTGACATGAAAAAACTCCTCCTCCTGGGCTTTCTTTAAGCAGAGGTCCCTTAACATATCATGGATTCTACAGGTTTTTATCTTTCCTCTAGAACTCTTCTTACTAATCATAATAAGATTTCTGGAAATTAGATCTCCCAAACATTCCTCTGCCACTTCTTCTAATGTTTTACCTCTGACTGGTTTTAGAAATCCCTCTGCAACCCATAACTTGATGAGTCTGGACACGCGGATTTCATCATCTTCTGGAAAAACTCCCATATAGAGAAAGCACGCTTTGAGATAATGTGGCAAGTAATCGTAACTTAAAGATAGTATGTCTGAGAAGTTTGCATCTGTTGAATTTACAACTGACTTGACATTTTGTGCAACATACTCCCAGTGATCTTTTGTCCTGTTGGCTTTGGAAAGGTGGCCGCCAATCACTACAAGGGAAAGTGGAAGTCCTTCGCAATTCTCAGCAATCTCCTTTCCAGCTTCTTCCAGTTCACAAGGGCAAGAATCTTCCCCAAACACCTTCTGACAAAGTAGATTCCAACTGTCAGTCTCATTTAGAAGTTGCATACAATGGGGAGAGCGAGGGGAGTCAATCACACTCGACACCCGTGTTGTCAACATGATCCGGCTTCCCTTCTTGTCGTCTGGAAACATCCTTCTCAATGAATTCCAAGCTTCAGTAGTCCAAACGTCATCCATCACGACGAGATACCTCTGGTCTTTTAAACTTTTATATAGACGCTCTTTTAATTTTTCAGTCCGACACTCTTTCAAGTTTTCAGTCCGACACTCTTTCAAGTTTTCAGTCCTGTTCTGTTGACGCATTTCATCACTGAGTTTCATGGAATCCAGAAGGCTTAGCAAGACTTCTCGCTCACGATATTCTTGAGAAATTGATACCCAGGCACGAGTGTAAAAATGTTCTTCAATATGTGGATCATTGTAAATATTTTTAGCTAGTGTGGTCTTGCCAATCCCTCCCATGCCAATAATTGGGATGACTTTAAGGGAAGGTGGATATCCAATAAGTCGATCAATTATTTGATTCACATCTTCACGAAACCCGACCATATCATTCCTGCCGCTTGAAGCAAGTCTCGATGGACCGGTTGGCAGAGAAGTGCTCTGGCTCTGGTGCAGATCTGTTGCGCCCCATAATACCTTAAGCTCGGCCGCCTTTCTCTTAATGGAATCAATTTCAGCTGCCACTATCTCAAATTTTTCACAAAAAGTTTGGTCTCTAATTTGTCTTTCTTGCAAACCTTCCTGACCAAAATTCTTTGATATATATGATTCGAAGATATCTGCAGCTTCGCACGCTGCATCTCGAATTTCCCTTTCCAAAATTTTTATTTCCTCGCTCCTTCTATGCAAAGAATCATCCAGAAAATCTAGTGTGAAATTCAACTTTTCTTGGAGAGATTTAATTTGTTGGTCCTGAAGAGGAGTCTGATGTTGTTGTAGATGAGGATTTGACATCTGCTCCAGAATCCGACTGAGATATATTACAGCAGCATAAGCCATCTTAGATTTTTTTCACAGAATCTGTTCAAGAGATAATATCACGAAATCGCAGCCCACCTTAACGAGTGGAGGAATTGAGTGGAGGGAAGGGATGAAGAACATTAGAGAGCGAGAGCGAGAGCGAGAGCGAGAGACGGGGGATGGGGATGTGTGTGCAAGTGCAACAGAAATGTGCCTAACAAGGGTTGTGCTACGAGGGTGTGGACGCTTTACGTACAAAAATTAGATGGGTTCCACCTATGTGAGGGTGTGGACATTTTTATGGATAGTTCTATGTAAAAAAAAATTATGATGTACAAGTAAATCTATCCGCCTAACAAAGTGGTTACCATGTGAGTGCGCTTCTTTTGTATGTCAAAAAAATAGGCGAATAAATTGTACGATTAGTATCTAACTTTTATCACCTTTTATAAACTTGTCCTCTAATTTAAATTTTGAACTTTTAAGTCCAATGAAAGAGATGTTCATGAACTAACAAACTAAGAAAATAAGAGTCTATACTCATGAAACTATTTGGATGTCTGTGGACTGGAAAAAAGACTCGAGTCTTCATTTTTCACCAATTTGACACCTTCTCTTTTTTATTTAGTTAGTTGTCAAAAACGATTATTTTGTTAGTTGTCAAAAAAATTGTGTTGTATTAAAGTGAAACAAAAATAAATATCCAAATCAGTTTTGCCTTGGAACCCGACTATTAAACTTTCAAAGAGAATAAATTAAATCATGTACCTCAATATATTGTACAAATAAACTTTTTTAACGATCTCATTTAATTTACAAACCTCTACTAAAAAATTATAACATGGCTACCTAAAGCGCATTCACTTATATGTAGATAAAGTTGATCGAAATACGAATAACAAACAAGCTACACATACATTATCTTCAACATCAAGTTTGACACTCAACGAAATGGCAGCAATTTTGGTCTTTAATTTTAAATACACTCCATCAACTCACTAGTCAGATTTCATCCATGTAAGAGGTTGTCATCCTTAATGTTTACAAGAAATGTACATCTAACATTATTCTACGAATAACTATAATTGAATTGAGCCTCATTGTGTTTCAATTTCTGTCAAGAAATGATGGGAGTTGGACAAATATAAAAACTATCAATAACCCCATAACACGTTATTCTAATTATTTAATAATAACTTTTTTCTTGTTAAGTTGGTATGGTCCCTCTAGGACTCCATGTGCATTTCAATAATTAATGTTGAATACGGACAAACGCATCTTGGACTAAAAATGAACGAGTATATGCACACAGTTGCAATGTAGTCCTCATTCAATTTATTTATTTTTATTTGCGTAGTCATCACAATTTATGTCGTGCTCTTCAGTTTACAAGCGTCACTGTTAATTGTAACTCATTATTTTTATAGAGCAACATTTATGAGAAAATATTAAAGTTTAAAATGTATCATTCCTTCGTTCTATTGAGTTTAATAGACCAAATGTTATAAATATTTAAAGTTTTATAAAGATTCTCAATGGGCTTGGTCTCATATCTGATCTGCAGTCTGCATGGTGATATAACACAATTCATGTGTATATGCTTTTGTAATGATCCTTTAAATTCATTTTGAATTATGTATTTTTTCATTAAAATAATTTTATATGAAAATTCATAATTTTTCTATTTTAACCGAATTATGCTACTTGTACAAGGCAAACTGTACCCTGCCATTGCTTGTACAGGATGAAATATCAAAATCCTTTTGAACCATACCACATTTTTCACAAAATTTATTTTCAAAAAATTATATCAAACATGACTTGTATATTGAGGCCCCATTTGGTACTCATTTTTTTTCAAAATACATTTTTCTCTTCTTTTTTTTCAACCACACATTCTTTATTAAAATAATATTACACGTAAATCAAAAAAATTTCCTTATTTTTCAACCACCCATTTCCCATCAATTTACTATTCAAAAATGCATTTTGGCATAAAAATGTCTCCCATACACCCTCTGACCATGAAAAGTTAATGGTTTTGCATTTTTCTTCTGAAATCAAAGATCAAAATATTGACTTTTTAACCTTCAAATAAATTGTAGTAGATTGAAAGTGATTTCATTGCCAAAGATTGAAATATTGTCTAACAATATCAAGATTTATAAGTATCAATACAGCAGGAACCTCAAATGATAGGAGGTATTACGCAAAATAGCCTTTAATTAACATGCTAAAAAGTAAAATTTATACAAAAACCTCATTCTTTAACTTTAAAAAAGTATAGAAAAGGAAAATGTAACACCCCAAGACCATTAGTAGTCGCTAAATTTAGGACTTATTTGATAGGGGCCAATTCCATAAAAAATGAAATTCAAATTCCATTATCTATCCATTTTGTAGTGTTTGATACCCTATTTTTTCCATGGAAAGTGGATTCTTGCTTTTCTTGGAAATTGTATTTTTCATGGTTTTGTGGGAAATTCAATTCCCACCTATATTTTTCGGGGCACTGTTCACGATTTTTTTTTATTTATTTATTTTTTTGTTGGCAATGGAAACAAATTCTAAGAATTATGGTAAAAATATATTTCACTTTAATTGGCAATTTTCATGTAAAACAAAGTCAAACGAACACCAAAAGATAGATGATTTTTTGCTTTATTTATTTTTTTGATTGGCAATGGAAGCAAATTTTATTCCCAATACCAGTAAAATCTATTTAATTGACAATTTTCATGTAAAATAAAGTCAAACGAATACCAAAATACACTTTCATTTTAACATTATCTACGTGAAAAATTATACCAATCAAACACAATAATTTACAATTCTCAGGAAAATAATTTCTAGGCAATTCAATTCCCTATAATTTGTTTTGAATTCAATTCGATTCCATATTTACAATCAAATGGACCCTTAGTTAAAAGTATTCAAAGGCCAACGACAAGCACTTATCTTTTAAATTTTGCTTTTTCTTTGATTACTTCTAATTGATTGAGAAAAAACTAGTCGGTAAAGATGCCCAACATTGTGGGTGGCCATCTTTGATACATAACATTATGTCAGGGTCCAAAGAAAGAAAAAAGGACAAATAATTGCAAGTGGAGGGAAGGGTTGAAGAGGAGGGCAATGTGACTGCACATCTTTGGTCCATCACTTTATGTCATGTATGGGGTCCAAAGATTTGAGAGAGAGAGAGAGAGAGAGAGAGAGAGAGAGAGAGAATTGTACATTTAGTCCCTAACTTTTAGCACATCTTATTAACTACTTGTCTAATTTCAATTTTGAACTTTTAAGTCTCTAATTTTAGCGTTTGGTGGGCTTGATCCTTGGATGGTTGCGACTGCGACTCCATGAAAGTATCTAGATATCACGTCTATCATTTTCTTAACACCATGACGTCATTGCATTTTGGTTTTTTGTGTAATCAGAAATACTTATGTTGTAGAAATCCTTTGACAAGTCCAATGAAGGAGATGTATAATATCCCGAAATTTTATAGAATATAATTTAATTTTATTTATGCTATATTTTTAATGTTTTGAAAGTTTAGAGACTAAAGTGTATATAAAGTAAACTTTAATAATATTTATTGGGCTCGTTGGATAGATAATAATTAAAGAAGCATTTTAGACTCGAGAAAAAATTAATTTGGATTAGTCGAGCCCAAGTTATCGAAGCCGGAAGATATAACATTAAAATATTATTTTTATTACTTTTGTTTGGAAGAATTCACGTGGAGAGAGAAAGATGAAAGTTGTGGAGATATTTTATTTTTTTATTATAATTTATGGTTTTGAATTATTATGGAGGTACGTGATTTGTTAAAAAATGTTGTATTTGATATTATTCCAAATTCAAATCCTTATCCAACTTTTTGTACAATCATTATTATCCTATTCCTTGTGTAGCACGATTTCCACTTCTAGTTGCATCAGAATTCTTTTATTTTTTTATTTCAAATACTCAGCAAAAGTCAGACTTCAGCCTACTTTTATTTCCAAAGCATAAAGAAGAAAAAGAAATACGTTTCTAACAGCAGTAATCGAAAGCAAAAGTTTTGGAAAGAGATTTTGGATTTTTGCCTTTCATTATTTAAGATATCTAACAAGGTAGGATTACGAGGTGCAAGTGGGTTGTCCCATTTAAATTATTTCTTCATGTTTGATAGATATTATACTTATGAAAGTTATGATATGTGTAATGTGATTATGATATGTATGTTATGGCCATCCGGTACCAAAGATATGATATGATATGAGCTCTTACTGGTTCTAAAGATATGATATGACGGTATGATATTTTGACGCGTGATTTAATATTTTTAATTGGGATTGCACAATTTCTCGTACCCTACTGAGTATTTCCATATACTCACCATTTTCCTACTCCTCACAGGTTAGATCGGGTCGTGTTGGAGCGTGGTGGTTCGAAGGTGTGGTTGTGTCTTGTTTCGCCAAATAAAGATCTAAGTTAGCACGTAATGTTTATTTATTTTCAGTTTATTTCAGTAAACCTTTATTTATTTACGAATAAATTCTCGTTCATGTTAGTTGCAGATGAATATACGTATTTTATGATTTTTAAATAGAAGTTTGAACTAAATGTTATTTTCCTTCCTATCGATTTGCAAATCTATTCTTTCGTATACGTTGGGAAGAAAAAATTTAATAGCTTGCATGCCTATGTTTGTACTTACTTTGATTTTCCCCAAATTGATGGAAATTTAGGGTCAACACAATGATTCCCTGCCACCCCCACACCTTCATTTGTGTCCCTTCACATCCATAGCATTAATTATGATATGAATTTGATAGTTTTTGCTTGTACATGTTAGTAATGAATCAATGTCATGTTCGTAGTTTTTTTTTGACATAAATGAATTCTGTTTTGGATATTTATTATTTTAATTATTTATGGAATGAAAGGTTTAGTAACGATTTCTAAATCTATATAAGATTTGGGTCGTTACAAGATGTCAGTGATTTAACAAATGCAAATATAAGAACCTACTCTCACAAAAGTATTTGGATGTCTACATATAGGAAAAAGAACAATGCTCCTTGGATAGGGGCAATGATAGGGATGAGAGTGACATGGTGGTATGACAGATAGTGATTGGGTGTTGTGTGTTTTTTTTTTTAACTGTCCAATCATGTAATAACATGTCGTGTCTATCATTGAGTATGTCACTGTAACAAGATTGTTTGAAAAAAGACTAGAGTCTTCATTTTTCACCAATCTGACACCTTCTCTTTTTAATTTCATTAGTTATCAAAAATGATCGTGTTG